TGAAAGTTTCTGGGGAGAATGGGAAGTTCCCTCTTCACACAGGGTCTCAGCAGGCCCCCCATTCTGCTACGGCAGCAGGTTAGAGACCCGAGGAGGGGCTCTGTGGGGGACCTCTGTGCAGGTGGAGCCAGGGTGTGGCCCAGTGTCTCCCTCGTGGCAGCAGAGAATTCAGGCCATACCACAGCTTCACGTCGTGAGCTGCAGCCTGGGGGTCCCCCAGGCCCCATCCACTCACTGCAGAGGGAGGCCAGTCCCCCGATGGGGCCAAAGGCACCACCCTCCTGCTGCTCCCCACGCGGTGCCCTCTGGGACCACAGGCGGCTCAGCTGGCTGCTCTGGTGGGGTAGACGGAATCGGCTGAGCCCACCCTCTCCAGCCCTTGAGGGCACGCTGCTCCATCCCTGGGCCCCAAGCAGGGAATACTGGCCGGTGCCTGGAACTGGAAGGGGCCGTGCTCTGTCCTGAACTGCCCAAAAGGGCCGAAGCGAAGGGATCCCTCAGAGAGGCTGAGGAAACGCTTTTGGGCAGGAGTTGGTTTAGCCCGGGGGTGGCGGGGGCTGGTCTGTGCCTCCTGGGCACCTGTGGGGGGCAGCCTCCGGGCCGCGCCCACCTGTCCTCTGCCCATTGTCTGCAAGAGCCCCCGTGGCCTGAGGCGCTCCGGTGGGCTCCCTGCGCTCATGGCCCCGGCTGTTCTCCCCTCCGGCAACTCTGGTCTCAGCCTCTCTCTCTCTCTCTCCTCCCCTGCCCTCCCCTTCCCCAATCTGGAAATCTCGCCCCCAAGTGCCTTTAATCATGGCACTGCCCTTCTTGGGCCCTTTCACGTGCGCTCTGTCTTTGGGGATGAGGTGCTGGCCCTGAAAGCAGGACTCAAGGTGAGGACACACGGGCGCCTCCGGGCTCTGTGCTATGCTCCCTGCCCCTCACCAGTCCTCCGTCCTCCCCGTGTGTCCTGTGTCCCTGCCTGCCCCTGGCCCAGCAGCTTCCCCCAGGGCCAGCCTGGCCCCGCCTCCTCCTGGGAACCAAGGACTTTGCCTCACCTGAGAGGCACACCTATCGGCCAGGTAATGGCGAGCGCATTTCTGCCCTCCCCTGGGGCAGCCACCCCCTTTTTAGCACCATGGTAGGTGTGTAGGAAATCGTTCTGCACTGCACTTGTCCCCAGGGTGTCCGTGGGCTGCCGGAGCGGTCCTGTTCCGTAAGTGCAGGTGGATGGGTGGACGCAAGGACCCTTGCTCAGCTCCCGTGAGCCGGGCTCATGGTGGGCACACACCACGGCTGTGGCGGCGTCAGACCAAGGCCGTCTGCACTAGGGCTGGAGCTGGGGGCCGGGGCAGCCAGGGGTCTCGGGCTGTGCTGCTCTGGGCGTGTCCCTGACCCACCCTCTGACCCTTCCCATTTCTGACTGCCCCCGCCCCCACTCTGTCCCTGGAGGAGACCCCTGCTCCCACCGCTTTGCCCCTTGTCCATGTGCGTCCCTCCTTGTCACAGGCGTGTCTGTCCAGTCGGTCTTGGTGAGTGTCTGTGATGGGTCTTCCTCCCTCCTGGGCCTGGCCTCCCTGGGCTTGAAGCCGAAGCTCTAAGACAGGTGACGCTCGGGTTGGCTGAAGGAGGCGGGAACACCAGTGCCAGCCTGGAGCCCAGAGGGGACAGGCAGAGTCGGGAGTCCTTGACACCCCAGGCTCAGGGTTGGGGTGCCAGTAGCCCACGGTCCTCAGCGCCGTCAGGCTCTGAGGCTGCACTGCCCCACACAGGAGCCACGGCCACGTGTGGCTGTTTAGGTTCCCACTGACATGAATACAGTGAGCAGCCGGCCCTGCCCCCAGTGCTCTGGAGCCGGGTGTGGGGCGGCCGTCAGACCGCAGTGGGAGCCGTCGTGCGGGGGGCTGCGGGGCCCTGGGAAATGCTTCCAGGGCAGGCGACTGAGTGGGAGGTTCGCAGCAGCAAACCGGGACCCTTCACAGGCTGGGAGCTGAGCCCCCCCCATTGCTCTCTTTCCCAGGGGCAGCCTGAAGGTGGAGCTGCATGTGCAGGCCTGGGACCCCGGGGGCACAGCAGGCTCTGGTGGACTTGTGGCTGACATGGAGGGGGCCCGGGAGAGAATGTTTGCCCCAAATTTGAGGGGCTTCTGTGAGCAGCCAGAGCTGCCAGGTGGGGGTCTGGGTCCTGGGAATACTGAGTCACAGGGAGGTTTGCCCCATGTGAGACCACTTGCCGGGCAGCTGGGCCCCAGCTCCCTCCCACCGGGACTAAGTCGCCTGGCAGGTCCTGTTCTTCACCCAAATGACAGGACAGGTCCCACAGGAGGAGGCTCGAGGGGCACAGGTTCTTCTTGGGGGAGCATGGGGGGCCAGGGGAGGGCTTCGAGGACCCTGGGCTGGCTGGCTCAGAGGTCGTCACGTGGTTCCTTTATGTGGGAGTGGAGAGAGGTGTCTGGACACCAGCAGGTGCCACCGATGTTTCAACAAATGTGTGTGGATGCTGAGCCCTCCTCCGGGAGCTGAGGCCAGCAGGTGCGTCTGGGTTCCTCAGGTGCACAGTTTGAGAACTGCTGTCTCAGGAGCAACAGCTTCGAAGGTGGAGAAAGAGGGAGAGGCCCCAGGAAAGCCAAGGATTTCTTGTAGTTCTTGTTTCTTGCTTTCTTGCGTGTTCTGGTGCAGAGATAAGTCTCCTCTCGGGAGGTCCTAGGGTGCTGACCGTTGGAGGACACCCCCAGGCACCCCCTCCCCGGCCTGGCAGGTCCACCGACTTTGGCCCCCAACCCCCTCCCTCCTGAGCCCCTGACTGGGCAGCTGGCTTGGCTCAGCCAAACCTTACGATTGGTTTGTGAAACCAAACTGCACGTTTTCCTCCCCAAACATGTGCTTTCCAGAATCCTGTCCATCTAGTGCCAGCCTCTTGCGAAGTCTTAGCCCATGTATTATTTTTTTTATTCGCATGAATGTAGCAAAAAATAATACATCTTTTAAAAAGACGTGACCCCAAGCTCTGACTCTAGAAGGAAAAGGCATTTGGGGAGGGAAAAACAGGGAATTTTATTTTTTCTCCCCAAACCGGGGACTGTTTCTTTCCCAGGCCGGCGGAGTGCTTGATGTGCAGCCTCCGCAAGGTCCTTGCTCAGACACACGCTCTGTGGCTGGTGGACCCTGAGCCCAGAGCTACGCCAGGGGTGGTCACGGTGCCTCAGTTTACCTGCCCACTCGCCAGCCCGGGCTCCCTGCCAGGGGACTAACTGTGCTCTCCTCATTTCCAGTAAAGGCAGAACGTGCAGAGAGGGCCTGTGTGGCTGCTGCCCTGGACACTCTAGGTACCACGGACGCATGGCACGGACGCCCTGCTGCACGGCTCTTCCGCTCCGAACACAGCTTATTAGAAGTTCTAGATGAGCCGGAGAGGCCCCGGCTCCCCCAATTCTGATTGGCAGCTAGGCCCACAGCCCGTGTGGGGCAGCGCTAGGCGCCCTCTGATTCCCAAACTCTTTCTCCTTAAGCAAAGGAGCCCTGCTCCCAGCAGGAGGGGCCGGCCAGGGGCTTGAGGACCCAGAAAGGGCGCTGGCCCTGGGACCCTGACTGCTCCAGAAGCCTCTCTCCAGGGCCAGTCTAGCACCTCTACTAGGCACCTGGGTCAGCTCCCCCTCATCCGCCCCCTCGCTGCCTGCGAGGCAGCTCCGTCCTGTGTGTGCCAGCTCCCGTGGTGCTCACACACCAAACACCAGAAAGCCAGAGGCCCCCAGCTCCCCTTCCCACGTACAGGCCTGGTTGAGGGCAGACTGGAACGGGCCGGCGGAGAGGCGCACCCCGTGACACCATGAGCACCTCCACTGCACCGTGTGCTCCTCTGTCCGCTGTCAGGGGTGGGTGCAGGACTGTCTGTCTTTCTGCTTGCTCAGAGTGCACCCACCCGTCTCCCTCCTGCCCGCCTCCCGCCCTGACCGGGGCAGCCCTGCAATGTGGGCAGCTACTCACTTGTCCTGTGCATGCGGTCGGTGCCGAGGGGCAGGCGTCGGGAGGGGCCGTGCAGCAGGATCAGGGCCCCAGGCGGCCGCATGCTTGCACCTCTGCACCTCTGCATCCGTGCATGCTCCAAATCCTTCTCCACCCTGAGGGGGCTCAGAGGATCCCCCTACCTGTCCATGCTGCCTGTGTGTTCACGGACGTGAGCGCTTGTGGGATGACTTGTGAGAGATCTGGGCTGGGCAGAGGCGGTCCTGCTTGCCCGGAGCTGTGTCCATGGTGCATCTAGCCACAGGCTGCTCCCTCAGGTCAGGGACTGTGGTCAGGCAGCGTGGGGATAGAAGGGCCAGGAGGCCAGGCCAGGTGCAGTCCTGCTGTGCACAAGCCTCAGGAATGTCATTTCATCCTGGGCATCGGGGCCCAGCCATGCCCGGCAGCTCTCCCACCACTGAGTGGCCCACTGTGCAGACCTCTTACCCCCCCATCCCAATTTGCAGCTGGCCCCACATATTGAGAATTTCGCCCTGGGCGTGGCGGGCAGGGAGGGGAGCTGGGCCTCGGTGTTCTCTCCCAGACCCTCCTGAATGTGCCCCCAGCCCTATGTAAGAGCCAGAGCCTCAGCCCCTCCCGTGGGCTGACTCTGTCCTTGGCTTGCGAGGTGAGGGAGGGAGGACCGGCGTTTGGGCATCTGGAGTTGGGGCAGGTCCAGGTGGCTGGGGTGGGATGCAAGTGGCTGAGGGCACTGAGCCTCAACGACTGTGGAGGTCCCGGTGTCCACCCTGTGACACCTTCCAGCAGGGGACCCTTCCTGGTCTAAGCAGGTGCACAGCAGGGCCAGGCGGGGCCAGGGGAGGCTCCTTCCTGTGGCTCCGTCCTCGTGGGGCTGAGTTCCTGGGCCCCTGTGTGCTGCCTGGGCTGTAGGTCCCACCAGGGTCCCCAGCTCTCCTGGCTGGGCGGGGCCACACTGCTCAGGGTCTCCCTGGACCAGCTGGTGGCCTTTGTTGGGACAGGAACACAGAAGAGGTCATTTGTCCAGAGGCCCCATGCTGCCTCAGTCCCCACCTGCCCATTCAGTCCTTGCCTGCCCTCAGTGGTCGCCAGCTCGGGGCCAGTGTCCTGAGCAAGCTGACGCCTGGCCTTGTGCTCGCAGGGGCCCCGGGGGGCGGGGCGGGCTGCCCACAGTGGGCTCCACACCTTGGGGCCATCTGCGCAGTTCTGTTCTGCAGAGCCCCTGACCTAGTGCACGGTCTGCGGGCCGGGGCAGGGAGGGTGCCAGCCGGGCCAGGTGGGCCGGTGGTGGGCTGCCTCTCCATGGCCGGTCATCACTGCGCCGCCAGACGGTGTGTCCAGGCTGTACGTTCTGGTTGGGGCCGAGGGAGGTGGCTACCCAGGGTAGCACGGGGGCTGGCGATGTCTGAGGTTAGCAGGTGTGGCGGTTCCCACAGGAACCCCTGGGCAGGTTTGTCATAAGCCAGCAGGGGCAGCAAGGGGCCCAGGTCACAGAGCCTGCTGTCTTCTCGAGCACATGAGGGGACTGCCCAGTGGCCGCCCGACTCCTGGCTGCTGCCCAGAGGGTATGGGAGCCAGGCACACTCAGTGTCAGACCCATCTCCACAGTTACTAGATATGTGGACAGGGAGGCCCACGGGGCTGTGGCTGGCCGGCCCTGGCCACCCCTCCCTGCCAGGGCTCAGGACAGCCAAGTGGCCGCAGAGCATGCCCACCCACTCCATCCTCCAGGAGCGGACCGTCAGCTCCCATGCGCCCTGGGGGTGGGGGTGGAGCCTGGGCGGCCCCGGGCAGAGGGGAGGTGGACAGGGACCCCCCAGGATGCTTCTTGTGCCATGCCCTCACCCTGCTCCCCGGGCTGCAGAGCTCACCCCTCCTGACTCTGGGGCAGTGTAGAGTGTGGAGGGGAGACAGGGAGCCTCGGTGGTCAGGTGCCCACACTGATGCCCAGGGAGAAGCCGCTGGTGCTGGGCATTTGGGGACTCGTCCTGCTGTGGGTGTCACCGTGGAGAGGGAGGCCTGGCTGGACAGTGTGGACAGGGCTGGGCCCCTTTTGGTGGTAGGCAAAGTGATGTACGAGTCCCCTGACCAGCCCCTAAGCCAGCCCAGGACCCCATGGTGGAATTGACCTGGTGACCTCCGACCCCCGGGCTCCAGGCCAGGGCAGCGGCCCAGCGGGCATTTCTCTGGGGCTGGGCTGCAGCTGCTCGCCATGTGGGAGGATGTTGGCTAAGAGCAGCTGACGGGTGCCAGTGTGCTGTCCAGAGTGACTCCTTCTGCTCTCTTTCTGTGTGTCTGTCCTCCTGGGAGCAGTCAGAAGGTCAGTTTGAAAGACCGTGTCTTCTCCAGCCCCCGAGGTGTGGCTGCCAAGGGGAAGGGGTCCCCACAAGCCCAGCCCGTCAGGCGGTCGCCCAGCGCCGACCAGAGCCTGGAGGACAGTCCGAGCAAGGTGCCCAAGAGCTGGAGCTTCGGGGACCGCAGCCGCGCGCGGCAGGCCTTCCGGGTCAAGGGCGCCGCGTCTCGGCAGAACTCGGAAGGTGGGTCAGGTCGGGCACCGCTGTGGCCCAGCTGCTTCCAGGGCTCACCCCCAAGTGCAGGCCCACTTCATCCGTTGCTTCCTTTATTGAGGTGAAATTCACATCCCATAAAATTAGCCATTTTAAAGTGAACCGTTCAGGGGCATTTGGCATGTCTACTCTCTAGCTCCAGGACATTTCATCTCCCCAAAGGAGCCCCCTTAGCAGCCTCCCCAGCCCCTGGCCACGCCAGCGGCTTTCCTCTCGGGAAGTGTCCTGGACATGTCGCGCAGGCGGGCCGCGCGGCTTCTGTGTTGGGTGCCCGGCTGAGTTCATGGGGTGCTCTCTGGGCTCCTCCATGGCGCACGTTCCTTTTCATGCTGAGCGGTGTTCCGCCGTTACTGGGTGTGGACGTGCCCCACTCTGGCCCTCCGTCCGTCCACTCACAGTGGTGCCCCTGCAATCCTCACGTCGCACCCCCGCAGGCCAAGGCCAGCAAAGCCGCGGAGAAAGAACAGGTGGAATCTAGAGCATGTGGGCCCGACGGGGTGCCTGAGGGGTTCCCTGACGAGGCGCGCCATGGCACCAAGGGACTCGTCTCCTCATGGGCCATGTCCCCTTCCACCCAGAAGCAAGTCTCCCCGGGGAGGACATCGTGGATGACAACAAGAGCTGTAACTGCGAGTTTGTGACGGAGGACCTGACCCCGGGCCTCAAAGTCAGCATCCGGGCCGTCTGGTGAGTGACCCTGGGTGTCTGGGGTGAGGACACCCCCCCTCAGGGTCCTGAAGGGCAGTCACTGTCCCTGGAATGCAGGGCTTTGGGGGGCTTGTGTGAGGGCACACGCTCGGGGGGGGGACACTGGCCGACACCCCTTAGTCCCAGCTCCTTGTGGCTCAGAAGACCCCTCGTGTCACGGGGTTCCCTTGCCCATCACCCGAGGGTGTTCTTGAACAGCCAGGAGCTGCCCAGGGGGTTCTCGGGTGGATGCGGGTCTGCTGAACAGCTGGGACCAGGAGCGGCTGGTGTCTTTGGTGGGTGGGTGGCCCAGATAATAGGGACAAGTTGTCCAGTGCACATTCTCGGAGATGCTGGAGGGGGGCCAGGAAGTGGACGCTGGGGCTGGCCCTGCTTGGAGAGTGTCCCGAGGTGGCCTCTGCCCTGGGCTCACGGCCCTGCCCAACCCTCAGTGTCATGAGGTTCCTGGTGTCCAAGCGGAAGTTCAAGGAGAGCTTGCGGCCCTACGACGTGATGGACGTGATCGAGCAGTACTCGGCCGGCCACCTGGACATGCTGTCCCGCATCAAAAACCTGCAGTCCAGGCAAGAGCCGCCCCTGAGCCCTGGGCGCGGAGGCCGGTCCTCCTGGGCCAGGCTGACACGCCATGAGGTGGGGAGATGGGTCTTGTGGAGGGCTGGCGTGCTCTCCGCCAAGCGGGGCAGGGGGCAGGGCTGAGGTGGGCACAGTGGCCAGACCTGCTTGCTGCCACCTCTGGGCCCTTCCTCTCGCCCCACACAGACTTTCCTTCATGCTTGTTTTTAACGCCTCTCTTGTCTCTCCTTTTTCTTCCCTCCTTCCTGCTCTGTGATGGGAAGCATGCATGTGTGAATGCACATGTGTGTGGGTGCACGGTATCGGTCTCTGTGTGCATGTGTATGGGTGCATGCATGTGTGTGCATGTGTGTGTCCAGTGTGCCGTATGTCATCATGTGTACATGTGCGTGTGTGTTGAGAGGTGAAGCTGTGGGCATGCACAGACCCATCCAGTGTCACTTATGCACCTTGGCACCTCTTCTGCTAGGACAGAGGGCCTTGTCCCCCCGCCCCACCTCATGGGGCTTCTCACCTCCTGGGCAGTAAGTGGGGCTGGGGTGCGTGTCTGCGGTGTACAATGGCAGGGCACACACTGCTATCTCCAAGCCCACGTGTGTGAGAACTGGCTTGCTCACCCTAAAAGGTACCTGTACATACATGTATACAGGCATGAGCAAGGGCCCGAGGCACACACAACACAGATGTGCACACAGTGCACACAAAGGCCCATGCCCACCACCACATGCACACACATGGTAGTACACATGTACACACATACATGCTGTTAGCCTGGTACCACATGCATGTACCACATAATTACACACACACAAATGCACTGCCAGTACAGGTGTGCTCACAGGCACCCACCCTCCACATATAAATGAGCTGTGCACACACATGTGTTTGTGGTGTTTGTGAACAGGTCACAGCTATTGTCGTGGGTGTCTCCTGAGGTGGGTCACATGCTCCCACCTGTCAGAGCCCCTGCCCAGCCCCACCCCGCCCCGCCCCGCCCCGCCCACGGCTCCTCAAACAAGGCTGCTCCACCAGCGAAGCCTGGGCCCCAGCTGGGAGGGTCTGAGTGGTCAGGGGACAGTCCTGGAGGGCAGCCCAGCTCCTAGCCCCTGGGAAGGGATGAAGTCCTCATTCTGGAAAGTCGGTGCATGCCGCTCTGGGGGGCCTCCCCTGTCCTGCGCCTGGATGCCAGGGGTGGGTCTCGCTGGGCCTTAACCGGCTCCTGTGGGCAGAGGTCAGGGAGTGACACCTCCCTCTGCCTGGACTCAGGCCAAGAGGCCAGTCCTCCCAGAGCATCGACTAAACCTGTGTTGTGAGTGTGAGCAAATGTGTGTGTAATTGTGCACATGGAGGGAAATGTGTGAGCATGTGAGTGAAAACACATGTGAGTGTGTGCAAGCATGTCAGGTGTGCATGTGTGGGCAACACGTGTGATTATGCATATGACTGAGTGTGCACATGTGTGCATAAGCAGATTGTGTGAGTGTATATGAGTGTGTGAGTCTGCCTGTGTTTGTAAACAGACATGTGTAGTGTGCATATGACTACGTATGCCTGTGTGTGCATAAGCAGGCTGTGAGTGTACATATGAGTGTGTGAACCTGTCTGTGTACACATAAGCAGACATGTGTGCATGTGTGCACATGAGCAATTTGTGTGTGCCTGTGTGAGTGTGTGTGCATGTGAGCAACATGTGTGAGTGTTATGTGTGAGAGCAACATGCGTGCATGTGTGTGCGTGTGAGCAATTGGTGTGCATGTGAGAGAACAGTCTGCCTGCTGTGTCTCCCTCGCAGCAGCTGTGGTGCTCCCAGGTCCTTCTGTCCTGAGCTCCCCTTTCCTTCCCTTTCTGTGGGAAAATGAAGTGCTCCCCAAGGAGCCGGGCGACTGGCCAGCAGTCCGAGTGTTGTGAAAGCTGGCGCTCTGGCGCGGGGCCGCTGGCCTTCGCCCTGCACATGTGCATGCCCGCCGGCAGGCTGGGCACGGCGAGACGCAGCGCAGGGCCGTGCTCGCCTGAAAGGGGAGCATCAAGTGAGCGTGGCGCCCACTGTGTTGTTGCAAGTGGACGTAGCTGTGAGAAGGCCTGCTGCTTCGGCCGGTTGCTCCTGTCTCGGCAAGCCCAGCCGGCCCTCGCGGTGCTCACGACGCGTTTGCTGGTGTCTCTTCTCTTGTTTACTCGCCAGGATAGATATGATTGTGGGCCCCCCACCCCCTTCAACTCCCCGGCACAAGAAGTACCCCACCAAAGGACCCACGGCCCCTCCGAGAGAGTCACCCCAGTACTCGCCTAGGTCAGGACGCCAGCCTCTCCTGCCTGTGTCTGTGGAATGGCCAGCCCCCTTCGCTCCAGGCCACATGACGGCAGACCCGCACTGCTCTTCCGAGGGGTGGAGGGGACGTTTCTCTGTCACTGACCAGCCAGACCCGGGAGCAGGCATTCCTCTGCAGAGCCCGGGTGGGCTGTGTTGGGGCTGCTCCTCTTGGCAGGGCCCTGGGGAAGCTTTCCAAGGACACCCTGTGTGCCGTCCTCCTGGGGCAGGGCTCCCTGGGCAGAGGCAGAGGCCAGGATTGGGGTGCCCAGATGTGCAGGGAGGACCTTCAGGGCTCCGGGGACCATGGTGTCCTTGCCACCCAGCCCCCGGTGCGACTCAGACCCCAGCACCCACACACCTGCGGGGTTGACCTATGAGGATCTGAGCAAGTCCCATCACTTCTCTTGCCTTGAACCTGTGGATAAACATGGGTCAGCATCATGGTAGCATTACGAGGAGGACGTCAGCTGATGGGCAGAATGGACGGCGAGTTAGCACATGCAGGTCCTTTAGGAACAAATGCAGACAGCGGAGCCCTCCGGCACCCCTGGGACCCTGCAGAGGAGGCTGTGGCCCGTCCACCTTCTCCGGCAGGCCTGGTCAGTCAGGAAGAGTGGGGTCCCAGAGCAGGGATGTGAGGGTATGGAGAGATGCCCCCGGCGGTGCTGACAGCTGGGGAGCAGAGGGGCCCAGGGCACCTGGGGGCCAGGGTCAGCGTGTCAGACATCTCCACCTGGCATTCTCAGGGGAGTCGGCCTGACCCAGGGCAGCCCCAGACAATACTTTCTGGGTTCCCCGCTCTACCATGTCCCCCAGCCCCAAGGATGTGGTACCCGAGACCCAAGCCATCCTGGGAGTTGCTGCAGGGGCGGAGCTGGAGGTTGAGAGCCCAGAGCTGGGAAAGCCCTGCTGCCTTCGGAGCGCCAGGCCTCCCGGGCCGCAGTCCGAGCGCTCAGCCATGCAGAGGAGAGGCAGGAGGACAGTCTTGGCACGTGGGGGCTCAGGGGTTAAGCCACCTCCTCAGCCTGAGGCCCAGGGGCAGGGTGCACAGGATCCTCAGAGGACCCTCCCTCAGCCCCAGCAACAGGCCGAGCCCACGGCCAAGGCTCCCAGGGGACCGGCCAGGCGGGTGGTCATCATGTGGCAGGGGTGAAGGCGCTGAGCCGGGCCTGGCCTGTATGCACATGTGGCAACACCACGAGCCCCTTCTCCTTGTCCATTTCCACGGGCATGTGCTTGGAGCCCAGGGTCCCCCCCGCCCTCCCCCCCCTGCTGGTCCTTGGGTGCATGCGTCCAGCATGAAGCCCGTGAGAGCATGCGGAGGCTGCACCGTGGCAGACGCAAGCCTGAACCTTCTGCTTCCTGCAACAGAGAGAAAATCACCCCAAGTGCCCCCATCAGAGGCAGACAGGGTGGTCCTGTGGTCAGGAAGGAAGCCCAGCTGTGGCCCCAGCCAGCTCACAAGGTCCCTGCACCCCAAACTTGAGAAGTGGGCTTTGTGCTGGGGGCTCCAGGCCCGAGATGAGGCAGGGGCTGCGGGCCTCGGCCTGGGTCGCTGTCCGGCTCGTCTGCATCCCGACTCAAGTGCTGTTTGCCGGGCAGTTTCGCAGCAGCTGCCCCAGGGCTTGCAGACAGCGAGGCCCTTGATGCTGAGTGGCGTCCACACGCTCGCCATTCGAAGGCCCCCTCTGAGCCCTTCCTGCTCAGCGTGGGAAACAGAAGCCCTCCCTGAAGGAAGCGCCTTCTCCGCCTGTGGCATTCATGGCCTAAGGCCTGTTTGAGATCAGCTCAGCTGTGTTCTGCATCTTGCACATGTGTGTGTGCACGTGCACGCACACACACGTACACAGGCACACACGAGACACACATGTGCACACAGTGGACACAATGCATGCACACATGTACACATACATGATGCACACTATACACAAAACACATGCACATATAGACACACAATGTACACTGTGCATGCACACATGCGCACACATGCGCACACGCAAGCACACAAAGACCCCCTCTCTGATTGTGGTGGGCAGTTTCCGTGCTGGTCTGTGTCCCCGCTCCCTGTCCTGGTGCATGGAGCCCCAGCTCACTGTCCCCGCCTCCCTGCCTTGTTGTTCCCCTGTAGACGTTTAACTGTCCCCATCCGACTGGCTGGGCAGAGGGCTCCGTGGCACATTAGGAAGGATGGAAGCTCAGGCGGGGCAGTGCCGGGGTGGACAGAGCACAAGGGGCCGAGCTGAGGGGTGAACGGCCCCAGTACCTTCCTGTGCCTCCTCACCAATGTGCCGGCCCACCGGGATGGGGTGGGCAGGGAACAGGCCTGGGAGTCCAGAACCAGGCGAGAACAGGTGCTCGGCATCTATCTGTCCTGGCACCTGCTGCCCCCCAGTCAGCTCTGGGTGTGGCCTGGAACCTGGATCTGGAGGCTGTGGCCTAGCCCAGGAAGAGAGGGTCATGGGCCACCACAACCACTTGAACTCGTGCTGTGGGGCGGGGTCTCTTCCTGGCAGAGTGGACCAGATTGTGGGGCGGGGCCCGACGATGACAGACAAGGACCGCACCAAGGGCCCGGCCGAAGCAGAGCTGCCGGAGGACCCCAGCATGATGGGCCGGCTGGGCAAGGTGGAGAAGCAGGTGGGCGGAGCCTGGAGAGCCGCCGTGGTGTCAGCCTAGGGTGGACGCTGTGGGAGGGGTCCTCGAGCTTCCAGGGACCTGGGCCCATCACAGCTTAGGGTGCTGCATGTCCCCTGAGCCCCTCCCCAGTCTAGGGCATGTTCCCTCCTTTGGCCACAGGCCCTCAGGACCAGGAGCACCATTTATGGCCCTCCCCTTGCCTGGGTGGGGGCCACTGAGCGACACCACGTCCCGGGGCCTGTGGGTGAACTCTGTCACCTGGGCCTCATCCCCAGAGCCCTCTCCTGTGGACACACACAAGGACTCCCACCAGGCTCTGCTCCTGCCGTGGAGGGAGGAGAGCCATGCGTCCCTCTGTGGCGATTGCTCTGATGGGTGGGCCCACGGTGGCAGCGGGCAGCCAGATGAGCAGGAGCACCCAGGTCCAGCGCTCTGAAGCCCTGAGGCCACACACAGTAATGGGGTCAGAGGCTGAGCTGTTGGTGGGTCTGCCTCCCTCTGCCTCTGCACCTCTGCAGGGAGCAGCCCGGGTGCCCCCACTTCTGCAGGGAGCAACCCAGGTCCCCCCACCTCTTCAGGGAAAAGCTGGGTCTCCTCACCTTGGGGAGCAGCCTGCCAGCAGCCCCTCTTGCAGGTCCTGTCCATGGAGAAGAAGCTGGACTTCCTGGTCAGCATCTACACGCAGCGCATGGGGATCCCACCCTCAGAGACTGAGGCGTACTTTGGGGCCAAGGAGCCTGAGCCGGCACCGCCGTACCACAGCCCCGAGGACAGCCGCGATCAGGGGGACCGCAGTGGCTGCATCGTCAAGCTCATCCGCTCCACCAGCTCCATTGGCCACAAGAATTTCGCAGCCCCCCCGGCTGTGCCCTCCACTCAGTGCCCACCCTCTACTTCGTGGCAGCCTCAGGGCCATCCGCGCCAGGGCCACGGTGCCTCGCCCGTGGGGGACCACGGCCCGCTGGTGCGCATCCCGCCACCGCCCACCCATGAGCGCTCGCTGTCTGCCTACAACGGGGGCACCCGGGCTAGCACGGAGTTCCTGCGGCACGAGGACACGCCAGCCAGCAGGCCCCACGAGGGCGCGCTGCGAGACAGCGACACGTCCATCTCCATCCCGTCCGTGGACCACGAGGAGCTGGAGCGCTCCTTCAGCGGCTTCAGCATCTCCCAGTCCAAGGAGAACCTGGACGGCCTCAACAGCTGCTATGCGGCCGTGGCCCCCTGTGCCAAAGTCAGACCCTACATTGCCGAGGGCGAGTCGGACACGGACTCCGACCTCTGCACCCCGTGCGGGCCACCGCCCCGCTCGGCCACGGGCGAGGGCCCCTTTGCGGACATGGGCTGGGCGGGGCCCCGGAAATGAGGCCCCACCCCCTTTTCCCTGACTCTTGGCCTTGAGGTTTCGAGGCGGGACCCTCCGGTGCCCATGCCTGATGCGGTGGCGGGCAGTGGGGGAGCCTCAGTCTTCACGGTGAAGGTTAACGGAAGTCCTTTTCCAACAAGGGGCACCCAGGCTGCTGTGCCCACTCTGTAGACCGCCGGCCCAGGTGTGAGAGGGTGGGTGATGCAGAGGACAGGTCCATGGCAGAGGCTGGAGGTGTGGAGTCAGGGAGCAGGGCCAGAGAGGGTGCCCAGTGCGGGACAGGCCTGTCCCCTTGAGGGTGTGTCCATGTGCACGGCTGGGAGGATGCCCCTTGCCTCCCGTGCCCATCCACTGTGTTCTGAGTGTCCTGTGTGGGAGCCAGCCCTGCGTCCAGGGCCCTGGCCGGAGAGGAGGGGCGAGGCCTCAGGACACACAGGAGCCTGGGGACCTCTGTGCTCCACAGGCTTCTGGCAGAGGGTCCTTGGGGGCTCTCCCGGCCACAGATCTGGGGGGTGGGCACCCCCTTGTCCTCTGTGCTCTGCCCTGTCCGGGTGCTGGTCAGCAGGCTGCAGCCAGCACGTTCACGGAGACCTGCTTGTGGGCAGTGGTGCTGGGCAGGTGGGTGTGGTGAGCAGACTTCCTGCTGCCCTTTGCAGGGGTGCTGCCTCCCCTGTCCCCAAGGGTGCCCTGACCGGACCCAGGGCTGGAAGAGGGTATAACCACTGGCAAGAGCTGTCCAAGTCCCCACGCAACATTAGACAAAGGCAGCTTGCTATAGGTTGTCTCTTCTGTCCCCGCTGGAGCTGCCCGCCCCGCCCGCCAGTCTCTGCGGCTGGTCCCTTGGCTGTGGCCTGCTGGTGTCTTGAGAGAAAGGACACCATCCCCACCCTGGGCCCCCACTCTTGTGGGCACCTGGCCCGAGGAGCAGCAGCTTTGAGCCGGGAGCCCAAAGGCGGCGGTGGGCCCCCAGCAGGCAGTGCGGGGCACCTGGCATTTGGGGTGATGGACAGCAAGCCTGGCACCTGGCGCCCTCTGAGGCAGTGACCCCATGGGTGCAGGGCTGAGCCCAGCTAAGGCCACCAGGTAGGACTGCCCCAAATGCTGGGTCCAGGGAGAGCTGGGCTGTCTTCTCACCCATGCGAGCCCACACTGGCTAGGGGTCTCTGAGGTGGCAGCAGGTGGGGCTCAGGCCACGGCTCTGTGTGGGGAACAGCCTCCTCAGGGCCCCAGGCTCAGTGCTGACAGCACATGTGCCCTCGGTGCCCGCCCACTGTGGGGCCCCCCTTCGGAGAAGCCTTGTGCACTGTCTTGGGTGTGCGTGTGACAAGACAGGAGTGTGGCTGACACCCCACACCTGTGCTCAATCACAGGCTCACACATGGGCACACACACCACACACACACTCACACATACAGAAATTGCACAGGCACACCCATGCACACACACACACACCACTTAAGCATACATGCGTAATACACCTCACACAGTGCACATGCGCACACGCATGCATGCCTCACACACATGCGCAGGTGCATACGCACACAGCCATGCACATGCATGCCCTCATGCACACACGCACACGCATCGCATTCTGACTGGGCAGTCCCTTGGCCTCTTGGCTGCTTTCCGGCACGAGGACTCAGGGACTCGGGGAGCTACAGTGGCTCTGCCACCCCGGGCCCCTGGGCAGAAGTGGCAGAAGGTGCCCTGGAGCCATGCAGGGCCTCACACTGCCCTTCCCTTGGCATGGCAGTAGCTGTCCAGAGTGGTTGGGTGGCCAATGGCCAGGGACAGCCTGGGCTGGGCCAGGGAGGGCCCGGCACCTGTGGGGTGTCTGGATGTGATGCTGGGGCTCTGGCCGGCTCCCTGGGCCCCTTGGTCAGTGGCCTGGCCTCATCACCACCAAGCAGGAGCTGCCCTCTCCCTTTATCCGCCTACCATCTCCCTCCTCTGTCCCTGTGCAGTCATGAGCCACACTCACGCTGGGCCACCTGGGAGGACGGAGGGACCGGCCAGGTGGCAGAGGGCTCCCTCCCGGCCTGCCCACCGGCCTGTCCCCACCGGAGGCCACAGCTGCCTGCTCAGCAACACCACCCGTCCCGCTCCAGGACCCCATGCTGCGAGGGCTGCTCTGGGGGCGGGGGGCGGGGGCAGCTGCCTCCAGTCACCACGGCTGAGCCCAGAGCTGCCGCCAGCCAGGCAGCGTCACGCGTCTCCAGTGTGTTAACTTATTAACCCGCCTCCCCCTCACTAGGCTGTCCCCTCCCCTGGCCGTGGATTTGAGATGTGAACATGGGAGAGGGGTCGTCCTCTCTGTTGCCCCCACATTCAGGGGCCACCATATATCAGGTCCCCGCCCGCTGTTCTTGGAGAGAAGTCTGTGCGAGACACTGCACACGCTTTCTGAAGCCCAGAGGCGCTGCTGCTGGTGCTCCGGGCCTCTGTAGAAACGCTGGTGTTCGCATCTATTTCACTTTCGCCCCGAATTGTAAATAATGTACAGATGATCCTCAGCTGCCCTCTGGGGGGGCGCAGACCTGCCTTGGTGATCTCCAGGCCGCCCCCCTTATATACTGACGTGGGTGTGAGGCAGGAAGGCTGCTTCCAGAGCCCGGGGAGCCTGTGTGGCTGTCCCCAGGGGCAGCCTCCACTTGGGCCCCCACCAAGGACAAAGTAGAAACAACCAAGGAGGGCTTCCTGCGGGAAGCAGTGTGGTGCAATCAGGGCTGCGCCTCTCCTTTCAGGGGCCTGGGAGAGCCGGCAGCCCAGGGCAGGACACTGTGGCCCCCGGAGCAGGCAGAGCCCTGAGGGGCGGGGCTTGAGGACACAGGGTAAAGAGGGGGAGGGAGGCCTGGGGAGGGGAGGGCCCTCTTCACAGCCTTTGGAGTCATCTGTGGGGCTGGGAGGGGTCGGGTGGTCTTTTGTCTTGGACACTTGCGAGGGTGACACGCTGACTAGGACGTGAGGACCGGAGGGCGGCCCTTGTCCTGGGCTTCTGGGCAGGTGTGCACACCTGGCTGGGCTGCACGTCCAGCTCTGACTGGGTCTCATAAAGTTGTTGCCTTAATGCATGTTGACGGGGAGTCGCTGAGGTCGCCCCTGTGCCCTGGGTGACCTCCAGGCGCTGATGCCGGACCCGCCCCCTCCTCCCCCGCCTGTGGTCCGCAGACCCGCTCCACAGAGGGCACGGAGCAGGCGGTCTCACCATCTCACACCCGCTGGCCCGAGGTGCCGCCTGCCTGGATTCGCCGACCCCACCGCGCCCATCGGCTCGGCCGCCCGCGGCCCAAAGGCGGCTGCAGCTCCCCCATCTGCGCTGTTGCCTTGGCTGTGTTTGCACTTTTGTTCATGCTCCAAAGAATATTTCATAATGCCTTGCGTGTGACACGCACTGGCTCGGCGTGCGCTCGCACCACAGCGACCGGGCCTTTCTCCGTGACCGTGTCACCACCGTACACTTGTGTCTCAACCGCACTGTTGTTTTCCAAGGAAAGACGCCAGGGGACGGGTCCAGGTTTGCTAGGAGCAGTGAGGTGCGTGCGCATGCAGCTCACTGTCAGGCCAATGCTCCCGGTGAGAATGGGCCCAGCACAGGTTCCCCGGGGACCTTGGTGTGGAATCTGGCGTCAGGGATGCATATGGAAAGTTCTGGAAAGTTCTGTTGCCACAGGGACGAGTCTGGGTGCCCAGAGGGCCTGCGCACTGAGTAAAACACAGTGATCCACCGGGCAGTGCGTGCCTCCTTCCTCCCGTGTCCTCTGCGGGCGGCTGTCCTCGCCGGGGCTTGTGGGGACAGGGACAGCGACAGCCTCCCCAGGAGGCCGCTGTGCTCCCACTGGGGAGGGTTCTCACTCTGCAGGGTCCGGCACTGGCTCTGTGGCGCCCTCTCTCTGCCACCACCAAGCACCACCAGCCGGTGGCCCCAGAGCAGAGACTCCGGCTCGCCCGCTGCAGGCTCCTGCCGTGGCCTTCTCTCCGCCATCCCATCCCGACAGCTGGGTCCTGGGCTACGGAAGCATCAGCCCCTACCACTCTCCCTCACTCCCCTGGCCGGGTGAGGTGCTAGGGGCGGGGGTGACATCCTGTCTCCCACCCGAGGGTCTGGGCCAGGGCCTGGCTGTGAGGGGCTTGTGCTGAGCAGCTATGCTGCCCGCCTTCTGGAATGTTCCTCCCACCAGACCCCTCTGGCCTCTGGGGGCTCAGCTGAGCAGGCAGAGCAGATCGGCAGGGCTCAGTGGCCCAGAGGACTCATGCCCAGCCCCGCACAGATGCCTGGCCCTACAGTGGTGGGGTGGGGTGGGGTGGGGTGGGGTGGGGTGTGAGGGAGGGCCTGGCAGGTCCGGGTGACAAACCAGAGGTTTATATTGTAAGGCTTCCAGAAACTTCTGGGTTGGGGTGCCTTTCTTTGGGCTAACTGGATGGTGCTCCCGGCCCAGCTGGGCTGCTGCACTCACCTCTGTCCACCCACAGCGCTGACGACGGTCCTCAGCGTCCCTGGCCATCCCTGCTGGAGACGGGGACGGAGGGCTGCAGAGTCACCGGGAAGCCCGAGCCTGGGCCCTGAGCACGGGGGGGCGGGTCAGCATGATCCACGGCCCCCGGGCTCTCTGCAGGCTCAGGGGCCCGGACCCCCGTGTGCTCGGGGTCTCTAGCTGCCCCTGGTGCTGGGGGCTGCAGTCGGGGGGAGGAGACCCCATCTGACCCCTCCACACCCACGGGACAGACGATTCATTATCTCCCACTCGGCGGTTTTGACTGCTTGCCTGAGAAAGTTCTGTTTTTCCAGGAACTGTCCCTAGAATTAGGATTGGATCTGGGCTTGGCTGTGATGAACAGAAACTTTAAACAACCGCGGGTTCAACAGAAAAGACTCCTATTTGTCTTTCACGGTCGACAGTCCAGAGGGAGGCTGTCTGGACTAGTGTGGTGGGCCCCCTACGGTGCCAGAGGCCCGGGTCTCTCCTGTCCTGTTTCTCTGCTCTGCACGGTTTCTTCCTCAGGGTCAC